ACAACAGTCATAGTAGGGGAATTTAATACCCCATTGACACCACTGGATAAATCCTGCAAACAAAAACTCAGCAAAGAAACATCAATCCTAAATGACTCACTAGATCAGATTGAATTAATTGACATCTTCAGAACATTTCGCCCCAAAGCTGCAGTATGTACGTTCTTCTCAAGTGCACATGGGACATTTTCAAAAATAGACCACATATTGGGTCACAAGCAAAGTCTCCCCTACTTCAAGATTAAAATCATACCAAGCATCTTCTCAGACCACACTGGCATCATATTAGAATAAACTACAATAAAAACAATCCAAACCAATCAAAAACTTGGAAGCTGAATAGCATGTTATTAAATATTTATTGGGTTACCAATGAGATCAAAGAAGAAATTAAAAACATCCTGGAAACTAATGACAATGAAAACACAACAATCCAAAACCTATGGGACACAATGAAAGCAGTCCTGAGAGGGAAGTTTATAGCTCTACAGGTCTACCTCAAAAAGCAAGAAAAAAATGGTAGTAATCATCTAACTCTACAACTCAAAGAATTAGAAAGAGAGCAACAGGAGCTCCAGTGGCGCAATCGGTTAGCGCGCGGTACTTATAAGACCTCAGTACTTTGCTTTTTATATCTTAGAATCAGAAAATTTTAAAATAACAGCTTTAATGAGATATAATTCACCTATTTAAAATATACAATTCCATAATTTCTAGTATATTCAGAGTTGAGCAACCACCTTTAGAACATTACCACAATCACCTTTAGAACATTTTACTACCTGAAAAAAGAAACTCCAGTTGATGGCTCACTAAACTTTGTACTGTGATACTTTTGCAGCCTTCACAGAGGTTTATGGTAGTGTAGCTGATGGTTTGCTGATCCTGGCTTTCAGTCAACTGGCCCATGTTTGATTTGGGAAAATAATTAAAGGAGAAAGTTTTTTTGGTTAGAAAGTTTTTTTTTCAATTCATTCATTCATTTATTCCATGAATATATTAAAGTCCCACTATATGCCAGAAACTGTCTTAACTATTAGAGATATACAGGTGAAAAAGACAGACTTAATCTTTGGTTTTGAGAGTTAATAGTCTAGCTCAGTGATGGCGGACCTATGACACGCGTGTCAGAGGTGACACGCGAACTCATTTTTTGGTTGATT